GGGGGGAGAAGGTTCGATAGCCTCTTGGTGTTCCTTTCTGTCATAGCCATAAGAAGATGGTGGATGAAGAAGATAATGATTATGAGTAAGTGACCAAGCCATTTAAAGGAATTTGACGAGGCGAAGACGGGGAAGAAAGGAGGAACTGAAGAAAGAATTAGAAGGAACAACAAGTAATACAAAGACATGAATGATCCAGATAAAACGAAGAAATAACAAAAGGAAAAACTAAAAAGGATAAACAGAAATGAACAACTATGGATAAAATCACCAGTAAACTATTCTAAAAAGGATAGAATATATAGATAAATAAACACTTAAACAAGTAAACAAACAAACACACAAACAACTAAATAAATCCATAAGCAAACAAACCAATAAATAAGGAAAGGAACAGATAACAGAGAAACAAATAAGTACACAAACATACAAACAAACAAATAAGTAATCAAATAAATAATAGAGACACAAACAAACAAACAAATAGATAAATAAAAGTGAACTCAAACGACACTCACGCGGTCGCCTGTGTCCTTGAATCCACTCGCAGGCTACTGTGAAGACACACTGAAGAAAAGGCAAGAGAGTTCGGAGTTTCTCAACGCTCGGGAGCGGAGGAGAAGAGAAGAGAAGAGAGGAGAAGAGAGGAGAGGAGGAAAAAAGAAGAGGAGAGAAGTGAGAAAGGAGTGAAGTCAGTGGAGAAGAGAAAAAAGGGGCTGAGAATATATATATATATATATATATATATATATATATATATATATATATATATGTGTGTGTGTGTGTGTGTGTGTGTGTGTGTGTGTGTGTGTGTGTGTGTGTGTGTGTGTGTGTGTGTGTGTGTGTGTGTGTGCGCGCGCGCGCGTGTGTGTGTGTGTGTCTGTGTTAGTATGTCAGTGTATGCGTATATGAATGAGTGTCTGTCTGTGTGTGGATGTGGATGTGTATGCGTGTGTATATCAACCCCACATCCTACCTATTCCCACACAGCTCTGGTTCGCCTGTACACTAAACCCAAATGAATTGTTTACCCTTAAAACGACATGAGCATTCCTCTTCAACGTTAATTGGCAATAAAAAAACATATTGCAGCTGTAGTCTGCAACAAGCCCTTACTGCCTCGAACGCACGACATACTCCGGCTTTTATAACTTCACTTCTCGTCCTAATGATCTCAATTTGCCACGCCTGGAACTAGGGTATATATAGAAATATATTGCGCGTACTGTACTTCATCTGTATAAGTGGGGGGACTAACAGTGTTGTCAAGTTATACAACCGCCAGACGTGGCAAACTGCAATCATTACGATGAAAAGTGGAGTTATAAACTAAGGAATTCGTTATGTGTTATCTCTCTCTCTCTCTCTCTCTCTCTCTCTCTCTCTCTCTCTCTCTCTCTCTCTCTCTCTCTCTCTCTCTCTCTCTCTCTCTCTCTCTCTCTCATTTATAATATATATATATATATATATATATATATATATATATATATATATATATATATATATATATATACATATATATATACATAAATTTTTATACACACACGCACATATATGTGTGTTTGTGTAAAAGACAGAGGGAAAGAGAGAGAGTGCATGGGCGTGCGTGCACCACCATCATTTCCCATAGCTTATCTCTCGTACAGTAGACATGACTGCAGATACGGCCAGAAAACATTACTTTTCATCAAAATTATCTCGAGTTAGTACCTAATACTCCTCATAAGAGGTTTTAAAACGGCTGTTAAAAGTGGCCATAAAATCTGCAGAAGATAACACTCATAAATTCCTGGGCGAACACCGGTAGCAGCCAGGTGGTCGGGCGGCCGCTGAGGAACCGGTGTCGCGGAACTGATCTTCGTTGCCATTATTAAAACATGGGCGATGGACACTGCACATGCATGCTCGCTCGGAACATCCAGATAGAGGAGTCACTAAAGAACAGCTCTCGGTCTCAACCCAACACGCGGATCCATTAGCGAAATCTACAGACAGGTCAATAAAATGGTTCTCGCCGAGACGCAAAAAAAAAAAAAGGCGGGAAAAAGTCTTGACTCAGTACGCGTGAATGATTTAGCTGACGGCGGCTGCGCTCGTGTTGCGTCGCCAGCCTCTCGACGCTTCTCCTCTCCCTCCTTCGCTTCTTAAAAAAAAGGGTTTGAAAAATAGAAACCTACTATTTTCAGTCTCGTAGTTTCCGTAATCAAGAAATAGATACGTAACAACGAAGGGAATAACCCAAAGAGAAGATATTTCCCTTAAATTCGATGGAGAGGCGTCAGGTGAGAAGAATGCGCGATATATATAGCAGAGAATGGAATAAAAGGGGAACATAATTACAAAACAAAGACTCAAGAAAGAAGAGGAAATGAGGAACTACTTGAATTAGTAAAACAACACTTACCAGATTCAAACGGCGGCGGCGGGGGGGCGAGCGACGACCGGCGAGGCGATGCTCAGCCGCTGAGGACGGGCGGGCGGGAGGACACGCGCGCTTCAC